TTTTTGTAATAAAATTACAGGGAATAAGGCACGATGGCCAAGTTAATGTGAAATGTGTAACTGTTGATATTATTTATTGGTTAACATAATTTGTTAATTTCTTTTCCACAAACAGAGATAAAGAAAGGATTTGGCTTGTGTTTAGAGGGAATGTGCTACCAGCTCAAACAAGTCCTGTCGGCAGAATTAAGAAACAGCCGTAAATAACCACCAGAGGGGAATTGCATCCTGTGCATTTACAATGTCAACTTTTAGTGAGAGTCACATTCAAATCAGCCCCATTTACAACCCTGCCCCTTTTTAAGAAACAGATACTCAACAACAAGCTAGTTCTGTAGAAAAATCCTGAATCTATTTATTCTTTGCCTTGAAAATAAATCATTGGTTTCCATGGTCCCACATAGGATCATAGCTGATATTTACCTCCAGTGACCATTTGAGAAAAGATGAGGTACAACATGGATTGTTCACTAGTCTGATAAAGAGACATATGTAAAGACAGTCATTCACACTCACACCTGGGTCGGTTTAGAACCATCAATTTAAAGCTGCAATAACAAATTTGGAAAACAAATAAGCTTAACCCTTCCACTGTCCTATCGGGTGACCCCTCCAGGAAAGGTGACCATTGAGCAGGGTTGATGGTTCATCCCTTGAGGTCCACGTGGCAGGGGTGAGGTGGTACTCACTCCTCACCCCTGCCACGATAGGACAGTGGAAGGGTTAAAACATTTTTTTCCATGCCTTTCAATAAAATTTATAACATAGTATAGCTAGAAATTTATTGTAGAGATAAAAAAAACAATAATAATGCAGTTGTCACATTTGTTTATAAACCTCCACCAATAACACGTTTCAAACCAAAAGCAACTATTGGACCATCTGGTTGTCAGTCTGGCTGAACCGACGCACTTCCCTGGGTCCTTCACTCATTACGCACTAACTTATCTAGCCGTGGGACATCGCTGGTTCTCCACTCAATAATATCAGAGAAGGAGAAACAGCCGACTGACACCACTGCAACTTCAGAACAAACTACCAGAGTCCCAAAAAGAAAAACACCATTTGAAGTCATGGACAACAAATCATGTTTCGACCTAGAAAATGGTGACTGGTCTTTAGCGCTACCTTGCTTCCTCTGACAATGTGGGTTTCCGATCTCGGCAGGAGCATCTCAGGAAAGATACCCGAGGGGTGGGCTGAGTGTTCCATTACATGTTTACGTTAAAACCTAGCTTGTTTGCAGATTTATTATAAAAGCTTTAATAATTGATCTATGGGTAGAAAGGAGAAGAACATGCAAACGCAAGACTCCAGCAGTGTTGAACCCAGGACCTCAGCTCTCCAATAAAAATAAAAGTAATTGAATCTAAAAACTGAATCTTGGGAACATCTTGGGTCCTTCTTGTCTCT